GATGCGATGGATAAGGTAGCAGATGCATGTGATAGATGTTGTATGCAATGCGATAGAGATAATAGATAATAATGATGTAACAGCTAGGAAGCGGTGCCTGTAGAAAGTACCTTATAGGGGCAATCGACGATGACTCACCTTATGTTGCTAGGGAGCTTCATCTTATTCTTGGTTTTAAGACTTCTTTCTTCATCTTACGCTTCTAAACCACAGGTACTACTTTTCTCCCTGGCCATGTTTGCAACTTTCCCTATTCTCCAAGTGCTGCGGAAGTTTAGAGTCCTCCAGTACAAGGGACTTTTGTACTTGGTACTGCGAAAGTTTAGAGTCCTCCAGTACAAGGGACTTTTCAAGGGTGACATCAAAACAAGGCTTACTTGATACATCAAAACAGGGCTATTCATTCATGCTTAGCAAATACTTTCGTCAAAACAAAACAAAGCAAGATTTATCAAAACAAGTGTAACATAGCTTTATCAAAAATACCACTCACCTAGTTCTTCAGGTGTAGGCTCAAAGCAAGGATCAAGGTCCTACAAACACAGGGCAATCACATTCTCAAAACGAGATTTATATGTATATGCGAATGATCTCGACATTCTTATCAGATCCAAGTCAATAGCAAAGCAAAACATGCTGGGAGTTTAAACATTGCTCCCGTTTCCATGAAAACAACTGGGTACCAACCAGGTCTTTGCCGAGGTCCTACACCTCCTGGCCGAGGTGTGGTCCTGCTGACCTTATTCAAAAGCAAAGTCGGGGAAACCTGGCTTCCCCTTTGAAGCACATGCAGAACATGATGAACATGGTCGAGAGAAAGATGAATGCAAGTTCAAAACTTGTTACAAAAGTCTGAGGTTTCATGCCAAGTGTTCAGAACATGGACCTGGGTACCCACACAAGAAGGTCATGCAAGAATAAACACAAAAGCATGCTTCTTATTCCAAACTTTCAGATCAAAACGAGATTTTCTGCAAGAACACATGAAAACCATTTTCTCTTTCCAAAACCAACTTCAAATCGATGCATGATATGCAAAACAGATCCGATCATGTAATGCAGCTAGATGATCAGCAACAACAACCAAAGTAGATCAAGATTCTAACCTCAAAACTCGAATCCAACGGATCCAACCACAAAGATCATGCTTGGAAGACTTACTCTCACTCAAGAACTTCTCTTCCTCCTTCCTCTAGAGCTTCTCTCTCTAAGGACAAAGATTTGAGACAAAATGATTTGTTTCTAGGTCTGCCGGCTGTCTTAACAATCAGCTCGGACACGTGGTGCTACCGGGTTGGTTCAACTCAAAAAGGTGATTGATAGATAAGACAAGTCTCTGACAAAGCGTATGCAGCAAGCTGAGTAAGACACATTGGCAAGTAGTGACATCGGCTCAAATCAAGGATCCGGCAACAGGATAACAAAGACATCGGCTAGGGAGGACGACACTTGACTAAGCTGTGCCACACCTTGGCCGGGGTGTGCCACATCTCGGCCTAGGCCATACCTGCCTGCGGACAAGGTTCACTAAGTGCAAAACATCTCGGCAATGAGCCCGAGGTGAAGAAGGGGAATCGACCAAGGTCTCAAAACAGTTCTAAGTTCAAAGGTTCAAAGGCGAACTAAGTTCAAGGTGACCTCGGCCACACACACACACCGAACAAGGAACAAAATCACGCAAGAAATACTTAAACAAATCAAGGCAAAGCAAAATCTTCAAATCAACATAACAAGGCAAGATCAGGCACGAATGTATGCAAGTGTGACAAGAGTAAGGTGAGGGTTGTTACACACCATTATTGGGTCTAGAAATTATTAGAGAGACAATCGAGAAAGTTTCTCTCATTCGGAAGAGGTTAGCTACGGCCCAAAGTCGACAAAAGAGTTATACCGATAAGAAGAGACGACCTTTATCTTTCGAGGTTAGTGATCATGTGTTCCTTAAAATCTCACCTAGGCGGGGTTTGATGAGATTTGGTAAGAGTGGTAAATTGTCTCCAAGGTTCATTGGGCCTTTCGAGATTTTGGAGCAAATTGGGGAAGTGACATACCGGTTGGCCTTGCCGCCACAACTTTTGGGAGTTCACAACATGTTTCACGTATCCATGCTTAGAAAGTATGAACCCGACCATTCTCATATACTAAATTGGGTTGAATTGGAGGTAGATGAGGATGCCTCTTACGAAGAGTGACCGGTTCAAATATTAGATACCTAAGAGCAAGTGCTATGGGGCAAAACTATACCATTAGTAACGGTGTTGTGGAGACACCATGGGGTTGAGGAAATAACTTTGGAACGGGAAGCGGAAGTCCGCTCCAAGTATCCGGATTTGTTTGAAAATGCTTAGTTGTTTTAATTTGTAATATTCCCTAGTGTTTGAGGAAAATGTATCAAAGTTGTTAATCACATGTTGTTATATGTATTGTTATTCTAAGCATGAAGTTGCTGGGGACTGATACTTTGCTAGAAAGCTTCATACTTATGTTTACCATAAGTGGTTGTCGTTATTGAGGTAGCCATAGTAATAATAGTAAATGTTGGTTAAGAATCTATTTTGTGATTTGAAATTGTAATAGTGTGGTTGTGATTGCTAGAAACTCTTTTGTTTGGGTACTTGATTTAATTTCGGGGACGAAATTTCCTATGGTGGGGAGGTTGTGATGACAGAGTACGTAACCCGTCTTATTTTTCTTTTGTGCGTGTTGGGGTTCATCGTGTTAAAGTGCCAGGGTCTAACTTGAGGTCTTGTCAACTGTTGGGCTCATCGCTTTTGAAATCTCTTTCTCAAAATTTTCATCCCTATATGTTTCAATTCTGAGTTTCGCTTGTTTCGGGAGGCTTGAAGTTGAATCCGGGGGGTTTTCATTTGAGATGGAAATTTTCTGGGCTGAGGGTAGAGCCGCACGTGCGGGGGCCTTGGCCACACGTGCAGGAAGTGAGGCTGCATGTGCGGGAAACTGGAGGCTTGCCAAGGTGCACACTGCATTATATGCACATGCGATAGGAGGTGCGGGACATGGGTCACACGTGCGGGGGGTGAGAGCTGCACGTGCGGAAGGTACGTGCCGCACATACGGGAATCTGCAGACTCTGAAAAACTGCTTTTCTTCTTTTCTTGGACTGAGTGTATATCATTTTATACATCTCTCTCTCTCTCTCACAAAACCCTTTTCTCATCTTTCTCTCTACATTTCCTACATCAAACCTCACTAGATCTTTGATTTCTCTAAATCCATAAACATTTTGACCCCAGTTCCTTGATTACAGTTGGATAATTTCTTGAGGGCTACGTTTTGGGCGGTGGAGATCAAGTTTCAACACCATAGAAATTTGAGGGTTTCATCTCATTTCTTCTCCAAAAATTGAGGTAGGGACTTTCTTAGAGTTATATATATATATTTTTGCAAGATTTTGTTGAATTTTTGAAATTTCCCTTGTTGATATTGAAACTTGATGGTTGGCTCAACAATGTGGGTAGTTTTTTTTTTTTTTTTTGGGGGGGGGGGGGGGATTTGCTCCTCGTTCATTTTGAAATAAATTCTTGAGGGTTTTGAATTACATTGATGGAGGAAAATGTTTGTGAAGAAATTCTTTCAAATGATTTGGGTGTGTAAAGTTGTGGTGAGAAAAACTTAGAAATTTGGGGGTTTTTAAAAGGATGTTGTAAATACAGGGTTGACATTGTTAATATATTATTTTGTGTGTCAAAATGAGTAAATGATGGGAAAATTTCTTATATATATATATATAAATGATGAGTTTCATGAAAAATGAGAATTGTTGATATTGGAAGTTGTTGTTCAAATGTTGCCATAGTCTTGAAATGACTAAGTGTTGGGATTACATGAAATATGGAAATGTGGTTATTTATTGATGGATTTAAATGAAAATGTGGTTATCTTGTGAGATAGTATGGAAAAGAGAAAATGGAAACATTGATTATTTTGGAATTGTTGTTTGAGATAACCGAAAGTCAAAAAATGTTATGTGGTATTGATAATTATTGCATTGCATACCCATTCAATTGGTTATTACACATTTTGAATTGAGTTTGGAAACTTTTGCATTGAGAAAAGAAAGTTTGTGAATAAATTTATTGTGGAATTGCTTTGAGGTAAATACATTGGTAAGTTCGGATAGGAAGTGTAGATGAAATTGATTAAATTGGCATGAGTGTCCAGGGTGAAAGACCGAAAACACGCGCGGAGGAGGTACCATTTTCCTTCTGATTAGCAACCAGTAAAGTGGGGTGTTGGTAGTACTAGTTATGCCTACTTGTAGACACCAACCTAGGAATTACCTAAGTTGTATTTACTGCCCTTTGAACTACAATTGTTAATTCTTGAATTGCTGAGATTTTAAGTTATCATTGAGCATGATGATTTTCAAAAGACATAAATATGATTTTCCTTAAAAGCATAGCATGACATATGCATTTCATTTGATGAAGCTTGTATTAAATGTATATACTTTGTTAAGAATTTCCTACTAGGTTTTATGCTCACCCCTATGGGATTTCGGTGTAGGAAAAGACGTGGTGAATTCGCCACACTACAACAAAATTAACTTTTTACAGCACTACATTAACGACATACAATGAATGCAAGCCGTAATTTCTTATTTTTACGACTTGCTTTTTTTACATGTCGTAAATAATATACTAACCACAGCTTGTCTATTGTGCATGTCGTTAATGGTAAAAATGATAATTTTTTTACGACTTGTAATTTTAGTCATAAATAATAAAACTTTCTACGATATGCATATGATATGCCGTTAATACATCGGTTATATACGACACACGTATATCAATCGTTAAAAATAAGTCACTTTTTACAGCTTGCCATGTATGTCGCGAATGGTATTGCCATGAATGTCGCGAATGGTATGCTCAAAATATTTGAGGGTGCCAAAACCCAATATTGTGGCGCCACTTATCCAAATATATATATATATATATAATTTATTTTTTTATTATCAAACAGACTGATATAAAAAAAAAAAATAATTCACTATGTTTCTAAGAAGAGAGGGAGAAGAAAGACGTAGGTGAAGGGGAAAGGGTTCTTCAAATACATGGTCTTCAATCAATTGAATCGGTGGAGATCGAGACGCATGGCAGTCCATTGACGTAGTCCGCTTTCTTCCTCAACAAAGCAATCACGCTTTCCATTGAATCAATTTGTAATCTGCTTCGACTTAGACTTGGCTTCAATTTCTGATTCTATTCGTTCGATTGAATCAATTTGTAATCTGTTCTATTTGCATAGGCCCTTTCGAGGTTCTTCAAAGCCACACGCTGGTAAGGAACTCTCTCTTCTCTTCCTTGTTCCTAAAACCCTTGTTTGTCTCTCTCCCTCTCTCTCGGTATATATATATTTATATCCCTCTTCTCCCTTCTCTTCTCTTCTCTCTATACATACATACACCTTCTATATCTATCTATATTTTTGGGGTTTTTGTTTCGTCTTTGATTCAAGTAACATCATCTCTCTCCATTGCCATTGTCTTTTGGGGTTTTTGTTCGCTGGTAAGGAACATCATCTCTCTCCATTGCAATTATCTTCATCTCATAATTTACCAGGATTGTTCACATGACTTTTGACCATTTTTCAGTTGATACTCTTGCTTTGAATATGTTTATAAGATGTAAATTCAAAACATTTTTTAACATATAGTGACAATTATTGGGGACAATTTATTGGTGAAGGTTTGCCTTAATAACTCCTATGGCCCTTTGTGGATGACTGTTTGTTCTTCTAGGTGAAGCTATATGGCATATTTAATTGTCATCAACAAAAAATAGCTTCAGCACATGACATTCCAGAGTAAATCTCTGTTACATTGGTGCTAATGCCACTAAGAGCATCTCCAACCATGCTCTCTAAGATGCCTCTTCAAAGTACACAAAAAAACTATCTTCTTTATTTTGCCTAACTAGTTTAGCTAGTGTACACTCCAACCATACTCTTTATTTTAGCTAACTAATCAAACTAACTTAACTAATTTTAAAAAGAAAACTATAATAAACATTAATAAATAAATAAATAAATAATCTTTTTATAACATTCTGTATATATTGACGTGGCATTTGCAAATATTTATTTATTTAATATATGTAATTAAATTATTTTAAAAAAAATATATTTTCAAACAATCATATTATCTCAACAGTCATATTTTCAAATGGTAATATTCTCTCAACGGTCATATTTTCAAACGGTAATATTCTCTCAACGGTCATATTTTCAAACGGTAATATTCTCTCAACGGTCATATTTTCAAACGGTAATATTCTCTCAACGGTCATATTTTCAAACGGTAATATTCTCTCAACGGTCATATTTTCAAACGGTAATATTCTCTCAACGGTCATATTTTCAAACGGTAATATTCTCTCAACGGTCATATTTTCAAACGGTAATATTCTCTCAACGGTCATATTTTCAAACGGTAATATTCTCTCAACGGTCATATTTTCAAACGGTAATATTCTCTCAACGGTCATATTTTCAAACGGTAATATTCTCTCAACGGTCATATTTTCAAACGGTAATATTCTCTCAACGGTCATATTTTCAAACGGTAATATTCTCTCAACGGTCATATTTTCAAACGGTAATATTCTCTCAACGGTCATATTTTCAAACGGTAATATTCTCTCAACGGTCATATTTTCAAACGGTAATATTCTCTCAACGGTCATATTTTCAAACGGTAATATTCTCTCAACGGTCATATTTTCAAACGGTAATATTCTCTCAACGGTCATATTTTCAAACGGTAATATTCTCTCAACGGTCATATTTTCAAACGGTAATATTCTCTCAACGGTCATATTTTCAAACGGTAATATTCTCTCAACGGTCATATTTTCAAACGGTAATATTCTCTCAACGGTCATATTTTCAAACGGTAATATTCTCTCAACGGTCATATTTTCAAACGGTAATATTCTCTCAACGGTCATATTTTCAAACGGTAATATTCTCTCAACGGTCATATTTTCAAACGGTAATATTCTCTCAACGGTCATATTTTCAAACGGTAATATTCTCTCAACGGTCATATTTTCAAACGGTAATATTCTCTCAACGGTCATATTTTCAAACGGTAATATTCTCTCAACGGTCATATTTTCAAACGGTAATATTCTCTCAACGGTCATATTTTCAAACGGTAATATTCTCTCAACGGTCATATTTTCAAACGGTAATATTCTCTCAACGGTCATATTTTCAAACGGTAATATTCTCTCAACGGTCATATTTTCAAACGGTAATATTCTCTCAACGGTCATATTTTCAAACGGTAATATTCTCTCAACGGTCATATTTTCAAACGGTAATATTCTCTCAACGGTCATATTTTCAAACGGTAATATTCTCTCAACGGTCATATTTTCAAACGGTAATATTCTCTCAACGGTCATATTTTCAAACGGTAATATTCTCTCAACGGTCATATTTTCAAACGGTAATATTCTCTCAACGGTCATATTTTCAAACGGTAATATTCTCTCAACGGTCATATTTTCAAACGGTAATATTCTCTCAACGGTCATATTTTCAAACGGTAATATTCTCTCAACGGTCATATTTTCAAACGGTAATATTCTCTCAACGGTCATATTTTCAAACGGTAATATTCTCTCAACGGTCATATTTTCAAACGGTAATATTCTCTCAACGGTCATATTTTCAAACGGTAATATTCTCTCAACGGTCATATTTTCAAACGGTAATATTCTCTCAACGGTCATATTTTCAAACGGTAATATTCTCTCAACGGTCATATTTTCAAACGGTAATATTCTCTCAACGGTCATATTTTCAAACGGTAATATTCTCTCAACGGTCATATTTTCAAACGGTAATATTCTCTCAACGGTCATATTTTCAAACGGTAATATTCTCTCAACGGTCATATTTTCAAACGGTAATATTCTCTCAACGGTCATATTTTCAAACGGTAATATTCTCTCAACGGTCATATTTTCAAACGGTAATATTCTCTCAACGGTCATATTTTCAAACGGTAATATTCTCTCAACGGTCATATTTTCAAACGGTAATATTCTCTCAACGGTCATATTTTCAAACGGTAATATTCTCTCAACGGTCATATTTTCAAACGGTAATATTCTCTCAACGGTCATATTTTCAAACGGTAATATTCTCTCAACGGTCATATTTTCAAACGGTAATATTCTCTCAACGGTCATATTTTCAAACGGTAATATTCTCTCAACGGTCATATTTTCAAACGGTAATATTCTCTCAACGGTCATATTTTCAAACGGTAATATTCTCTCAACGGTCATATTTTCAAACGGTAATATTCTCTCAACGGTCATATTTTCAAACGGTAATATTCTCTCAACGGTCATATTTTCAAACGGTAATATTCTCTCAACGGTCATATTTTCAAACGGTAATATTCTCTCAACGGTCATATTTTCAAACGGTAATATTCTCTCAACGGTCATATTTTCAAACGGTAATATTCTCTCAACGGTCATATTTTCAAACGGTAATATTCTCTCAACGGTCATATTTTCAAACGGTAATATTCTCTCAACGGTCATATTTTCAAACGGTAATATTCTCTCAACGGTCATATTTTCAAACGGTAATATTCTCTCAACGGTCATATTTTCAAACGGTAATATTCTCTCAACGGTCATATTTTCAAACGGTAATATTCTCTCAACGGTCATATTTTCAAACGGTAATATTCTCTCAACGGTCATATTTTCAAACGGTAATATTCTCTCAACGGTCATATTTTCAAACGGTAATATTCTCTCAACGGTCATATTTTCAAACGGTAATATTCTCTCAACGGTCATATTTTCAAACGGTAATATTCTCTCAACGGTCATATTTTCAAACGGTAATATTCTCTCAACGGTCATATTTTCAAACGGTAATATTCTCTCAACGGTCATATTTTCAAACGGTAATATTCTCTCAACGGTCATATTTTCAAACGGTAATATTCTCTCAACGGTCATATTTTCAAACGGTAATATTCTCTCAACGGTCATATTTTCAAACGGTAATATTCTCTCAACGGTCATATTTTCAAACGGTATTGTTCTTGAATGTCTAATGCAACTTTCCTTCTCTGAATGCTTGTGCCTTTGTCTTTTCTTGACTGCCTTTGCATGATTCTATACTTAGAATATTTTGCGTGTCTTTAGTATGCTCTTCTCTCTTTGTGCAGCCTTCTCGGGGTGACATACCTCGGGTATACAAACTGATGATTTACCTCGGCAATAACTTGTCCTAGTTGTAAATTGCTACAAATTTCAACAAGGATTAACATATACTATAACAAGGATCAACAAGGATTAACATAACAAGTGCCAAACAATAATCTACTTGTAAATTGCTACAAATTTCAACAAGTGTTTTAAACAATATGCTTAGCTTTTTCCTCAACCTGTAAATTGCTGCAAATTTCAACAGATGATCATATGTCAGTTTAACGTCATCTTGTAAATTGCTACAAATTTCAACAAGTGTTAAGTATCTTCTTCGGGTGAACCAACTTGTAAATTGCTACAAGTGTTTAAGCAATAACCTCGGCCTTACTTCGACTTGTAAATTGCTACGAATTTCAACAAGCGAAGAGAAACAGTAATCTCGGCTTAACTTCAATTTGTAAATTGCTACAAATTTCAACAAGTGAAGATAAGGAACTATCTCGGCTTAACTTCAACTTGTAAATTGCTACAAATTTCAACAAGTGTTAAGCATATTCTTCTTCTCTCTCCCCCCTGCATGGCTTCCACATACTCATTTGCGAGCCTTATAAAAGGTCTTCAATCCTGGCTAACTGCAGTCTAACCTTGTGTGTTTTCTTTCTTATCTTCTAGGATCTAAGATCTGCTCACTGAGATCTTCTTTTCTTGGACTTAAGTGCCGAGATCTTGTCTGCTAGAATCTTGGATCTGCTCACTTAGGTTGAGCTTTTCTCTTCTCGGACTTACTCATCTAGGCTGAGATCATGTCTTCTAGGATCCGGGATCTGGAATCCGGGATCTGCTCACTTAGGCTGAGCTCTCGCCTTCTCGGGCCTACTTGTCTAGGCTGAGATCATGTCTTTTCGGATCCGGGATCTGCTCACTTAGGCTGAGCTCTCGCCTTCTCGGGCCTACTTGTCTAGGCTGAGATCATGTCTTCTCAGATCCGGGATCCAGGATCTGGAATCCGGGATCTGCTCACTTAGGATGAGTTCTTCTATACTTGAATGTTATTTCATTGGGAGCGCTCATGCCCCCTGTCTTTCCATCCCTTTTGGAAGGGTCTTGTTCCTCCGCAGGTATCTATCCTTCCATACCTGGAGGTCATCTTCGTTGTAGTATCCGCTTCGATCTGTTGTCTTTGGTGCGTCATCTTCCTGGCTGGCGTCTTTCACTCTGTGACTCTAGTCACGAGTTTTTGTGTTGCGGTCGTCCCCTTCAACGTCGAGGTTGATAGGTCTCCCACTCCCAGCAGGAGCGTTGTCTCCAATCTGATCATTCTGTCCGTCATTGGCCATCTATTCTTCTTTCTTTCCCACAGACGGCGCCAAATTGTGCGAGTGATTTTCTAACCACACTGCCCGCTTAGTAATTCAACTGTAGAAGACTGGCAGAATAGATGGCACCTTGCTGACCTGCAACAGAAAGAGAAGGCTCTGGCGGTGGTTCTTCCACCCGGGAGTACTCCGACGATCAAGTCAGTACTCAATATCTCTCAAAGATAATCAATCATCTATTCAACTCACAAGCTTGAGCATAAAAACCATACCTTAGACCCATGGGGTGCCTCTTATTTATAGCCAACTCAATTCTAGTCCCAATGGGAGCCTAACCCCAATGGACTCAGGATTACTGCTAATCTGGGACTCCCAGTGGGATTAGGATAAACTCTCCAAGAGTCTCATCTTTACCCAAATTGAAGTCTTCTCCCAATCTAGGACTCTTGTCCATATCCAGGTTGAGTTCCCTCCTCATTCTAGGACTCTTGCCCCTCATCCGCTTATCTCGGATTCCAATATCTTCGGAGGTAACCTTGGCCTATCCGAGATGACCTCGGCACAAACGACCAAGACACGTGGCACCTCGGCTGACACGTCGGTGTCTCCTTGCCACGTGTTGGTACTCAGAAAATATATCCCCACACAAACTATATGTCATGATGATCGGTATACCTTCAAAAAGGTGGATTGCTGCGCAGTTTTTTTTTTGTTTTTAACTTTGCATTCCATGAACTAGTTTACAGTACAAATAATACTCCTTAGTCTTGGAATCAATGTTGACGTCATACTCATATGAACTTTTTTGTTGTATTAGAACTTTTGTTGCCCCACTTGAGAGACTAAAGTTGGAATATATGTTTCGTGGTGAGCAGAAGATTCTTTTTGTGCTAATTAAGGCAATTGCAGCTTCTCAAGGTCTGAAAGGGTTTTGGAAAGGAAATTTTGTCAATATTCTCTACACGGCTCCTTTTAAGGCTGCCAACTTTTATGCTTATGATACATATAGAAATCATCTGCTCAGGATGTCTGGGAATGAGGAAATAACCAATTTTGAAAGGTTCCTTGCTGGTGCTATAGCTGGAATTACTGCTACGGTGCTTTGCATACCTATGGACACGGTATGTGGTGATTTGAACTTTGTTATTTTGGTTTATTGTTGCAGTGAGATTCATTTTTCTAGTTGAGCATCTTGGAGTATCTATTTATTTTCCATTTCCATTGCATAGTCCTCATATATTCCCTTGGTATGTAATAGGAAACATGCAAAGTTGGATTGGACAAAAATAGCACATGTCCCTCTGGTTGTCCTGTTTATCTAGTGTGCACCAAGGGGACTACCCACTGTTGCATGAGTCAAACATGGAGAAAGTTTATGATCTAAAACAATTCATTTACTATAGAAAATCTTGTTGCAATTAGTATTATTTATTCTTTATTCTTGTCAGAGATTGGCCTTGACCATCTCTTTCCTTTCAGGAGTGGTCTTTTGCTTATGTCTCTGACAATCATTTTGGAAATCCAATTGTATGATTAAGGTTATACCTGGCATGCATACGAGATCAAACATACAAATATTTGCTATTTGTAGTATTGAAACTGTTATTGTCTTTTTAGCCTGGATTAGGAGGTTTTGGGGACCTGTAAAGAATATATGTAGTTTATCTCTATTTGGGAGCCCATCTTTGGCCTTAGTCACCATCTGATCTTTCTGAGATGAATTTGCCCCTGATTTGTGTCTTAAACCCTGTGGCTTTGCTTCACTAAAGATTAGCAAATTGGATTTGGCATGGCCTTTTTTATCAAAATCGTTTTGGCGGTATGATTACATTTGTATTTCTTGGAATTTGGATAGTCTTTGGTTTCTTCTTCTTAGTCATTTAAGTTCTTATAGAAATTTTTAAAGCGTCTCATTTATGTTACACAATTCTCAAAATATGGTGACATGACATGACTAAATTTTGTGTTCAAGAGCTGGGGTTGAATATAGGGCTGGCTTGTTTAAGCCCAGTCATATTCAGTTACATTCTGAAGGTAAAGTATTATGTTTTAACTTACTGAACATGGATATGGTATCTAGTCAAGGTTAGCGGGTTGAGAATAATTGGGATTTGGATTTTATAATTGTGGAAGATTGTATACTTAAATAAAAGTGTTGGAAACGTTATATAGAGCAGCGGATTTTGGTGCAAATATTGGAGCTGATATGAGACACTCTCCAAGGTTTGGCTGTGCGCAATGATTAAATATGTTTTTTTTGTCGAGGATACACATTATATGTGTGCATTTGATTTGTGGAAAGTTATAATTTATTATGTTAGCCCTAAATTATGGTCTAGAACACTATTATGTACATTGCATAAGAAAAAAGCTAGGTATGCATTTCTTTGTCCTGTTTGTGTTGAGAAATTTTAGCATGCTTGCATTTTGAAAATTTGTTATGTTAACCATCAGTATAAAAGTGTAATTATGTTGTAGCTATTCATTGATTTGTGATCTATTGATAAAACAAGCTTTTCCATGCACCTGTTTCATCAAACTTAAAGAAGATTTTTGCCTATTAAAAAGGAAGAAATGGTTGAAGAAAAAAAAAACAAAAGAAAAAGATATCCTATGAAGCATGAACACCTCTATGGAGGTCATGTACAAGTGTCCAACATGTGTTGGACATGGACACTCGCAGGACACGTTGCGGACACATTATGGACACATATTAAAATTATATTTTTTTATTTACTAAAATAGCATACTAAGGTTGATGAATTTAAGGAAATCAAATATTTGATATAAAATAAATATATAACATAATAAATATATAAAGTTATATGTTTTGCATGTACTCCTAACGTGTCATGTCTTGCATTTTTTTGAAAATTTGCATGTCCGTGTGTCTGTGTGGTGTTCGTGTCCGTGCTTCTTAGTAGATATCTAAGTAATAAATTTGGCAAATGCTAACAAGTGTCCTAGCTTGTTAATATTGGAAATGATAAAAAGTATTTTGGAAAAGTTTAAAAAAGTTTAAAAAGTTTTGTGAAATTCATAAAGAGTGTTTTGAATTTAGCGATAAGTGTCTTGGGATCAACATATTTTTGTTTGTCTTTTTCTTGTGTCCCAAGGGCACTTGTTAGGAAGATCCATAAAATTTAGTTTGTGTGATTTAATGGAAAGCTTGACTCCTGGGTCCTATGTTGGTCTCTAGCCATGTAAATTTTGATTTTAGGTTGACTTTTATGCTGCATAAGGGTTGTGTGGATCTTTTTGGCTTGCCATAGAAAATAGATGATATATTTGAGTATCCATTATGCCTCGTTAACAGTTGATTGAGAATTTATTCTATCCATCATGAGATACTGAATCACACACACACCCACATTTGATTTTATCTTGTGGCTGATATTATCATCATTTTCTTCGATCATTTTTGAGTTTGAGTTATGATTTGTTTTTCTGAACCTAAAATTGCAGATTCAGTTCATGTTATTTCTGTTGTTCGTCAGTCAATTGCTTACAGAACTTGTTGGTGGCAGACAAATTTATCAGAATGTGAAGGGCCAGAGAAGATTGTTATTCGACGTTATAGTGATTTTATTTGGTTACGTGATCATCTTTTTGAGAAGTACAAGGGTATTTTCATTCCTCCACTTCCAGAGGAGCATTGTAGGTAACGAGCCCAACACCTTTTTTGTTTTTTTCCCGTCCTTCTAAGTCACGATATCAGCTATTGTAGTCGTCTTGATTGCCGTGTAATGGCATTGGATGTCAGTCAGGGTATAATGAGAATAAGTTACTGATGCTATCAATTTATTATTATTATTAGCAAATTTCTTAAAACTTACTAATACGAATATTGTAACCTGATCATGTTTTGGTTATTTAAATTGTTTTTGATCAGTTTTCTGACATCAAAACCAGTGTTCAACTATTGGTATTGGACCTTGTATGGTTTCTATTGGAATTAAGTAGCAACTGCCTTCAATTTTTACCCATCAAGCTATTTACTAATAAATAAGTACTAGAGTCTATTCAAGCTAAATAGTGGTAACTTAGCAAGTAACTACATATTATTCTTAAGCTTTATATTACTAGATCAGGAAAAATCAATAGTCATTATTAACTAGTTGTTACGTATTGTCATAGATAATATGTAAAGTTAGTTCAATCATGAAATTTAAGACATGTCATATGGCACTTGACCATGTTTAACTGATTATCAAGTAAAATCAATATTTATATAGGAAATTATAATATCTTTCCTTTTTATTTAAAGTAGAAAATTCAAATAAAAATTCTCTTAGTTAAATCAGGGAAAAAAAATATTTAAAGTTAAAATTAAGAAGGGAATAAAGGGCATTACAATGAAAGCAATTGTACTTCAGATATTATTTGTCCATAACAAAATACTACTTTTTCAAATTAAAAAAATAAAAAAATAAAATAAAAAAATTGCTTACACAACACATAATTTATCTACTAAGCTTACAAATGTTTTATATGACTTTGGTATTTTGTAAAGTAAGAACACCAAGAACTTTAGAAGAAAGTGGCAAATTTACTGCAGCTCTGAGATTTCCTAGTTTGCCACGCCCAAGCAGCTTTGATTGAAGTTTTGATCTTACATCTTGTATATCTGATGTTCAAATTGGTAGATTCAGCTTAAGCACTTGTTTTTCCAGCCTTAGAAAATGTTAAATAAGAGAAAGACTCCGTTTAATGGAATTTAGAATTTATTGCAACGGGCAGTGACAGCTGTTATGGTTGGTGCTGTAACAGCCGCTTTGACTGATTTTTCTCCCCACAGACAACTTTGGCTTATAACCATAATGCAACCCCGAAAATACTTTATGCAGGGACCCATATTTAAACTTATGTTTCCTTAATTTATTTGCGCCCTGTATTCATACTTGTTCTTACCAGTGAAACATATATTGATTTTTTTTAAATCAGTTATTAAGGCATCTATTGATGCTGTGCAATTTGGTCTCGTGGAATTGTTTGGCTACAACCTATTTTATTTCTTACCAGTCATAAAAGGATATCTCACTGTTCTAAGTAATGAACTTCAATAGAATTTCTTAACAAACAGCTGCAAAGTCTTAGAAGGCACTTGATGTAGGACAAAGCCCTCAATTATAGTTTTAGGCTATCCCACTATCAGATTAGCTGGGTATGGCTTTAGTTTTTAGGGTTTATGGTTGAGAGGGTAAGATTAAGCTGTTGGATAGATTTTAGTGTGAAATCAAGATCACTAGCTTGCTGGATATTGTGGAAATCAGGGGAAAAGCAATATTTTTTTTAGGGATACAATGGTTGAATACGAAAGACACTTGAATGGTTTTTTTTTTTTTTTTTTCAATTGGACATCCATATGGATTTTAAGAATCTTAAACATAAAATCGTCTCTATCTTTTGGACTTCATATAGTTAAGCTATTTTATGAATTAACCACTAGGTGCTTTTGTTGGCCATCGATTTAAAAACAAGTCATAAGTGGTTGAGTGCAAGGAAATTTCGAGCAGTTTCCCATTATTATTAATTTGCTATTACTATTGTGTTTGTAAGGCTTTTCCAATATATTTTTTTTCTTCTTCTGTTTGTAAGGCTTTTCCAACATTATTATTAATTTGCTATTATTACTGTGTTTGTAAGGCTTTTCCAGCATTTAAAAACAAGTCATGCTAAACGTTTCAGATCAGGATGAAGATGGTAGCACCTGGTGGGGAAGCATTGGGTGGTGTGATTGGTGCTTTCCGCTACATGATCCAAAATGAAGGATGTTTTTCTCTTTACAAGGGCTTAGTGCCCCTCAATTATAAGCATGGCACCTTTAGGTGCTATTTTTACGATGTTTGTGATATATTGAAGTCAGCTTATCTGCGTTCAACAGAAGGAAGGAAAAGAATTCAACACCTGAAAGAACAAGTAGAGGAACTTAATGCTTTGGAACAACTGGGTTTAGGTGCCTTAGCACATACATTGGCACCCTCGTCCTGTGATAGGAGCAAGGGGGTTTGCTGCAACTGCAACTGCAACTGCTATAGGAACTATGGCCGATAGTTTTAGATAATCTTTGAATAGTTTTGGATATGTTTATAAGCATAGTTTTGAATGGTTTAAACTTTTTGGACAGTTTAGAACTTAAAGATATAGTTTTTGAATGTTTGGAAAGTATAGATAATTGTTGGATATTTATAATTTATGGATATAGTTTCTTTTTGATGTTTCAAATAATATTTTGGTGGTTGATTGATATTTTGTGAGGCTTGTTTGTAATGTTTGTTAGATTGTACAGAATTGGTCAAATAGAACCTGTTAAATTTATATATATATATATAAAAACTACATATTTTACGGCGCGCAATCAGCGTCATTATTTGTCTCACCAATTAACGGCGTGCAAAAGTAGTCATAGAAAAAGTAACAACGATGCACAAAATCTGTCGTTAAATAGTTTTTAACGACGTACTATAGCATGTCGTAAAAAAAGTAACAACGACGTACAAAATTTACCGTTAAATAATTTTTAACGGCATACGAAGCATGTCGTTGAAAGTGAATGACTTTCCATGACTGGTCATAATATGACGCGCGTTGCACGTCTTAAAAGGGTTTTTACGGCGTGCATTGTGCGCCGCAAGAGCCCTTTTTTTGTTGTAGTGGCGTGAATGTATGTATAGAGAGCACAATGCTCTATTTTGTTATGACTGTATTTTGTAAGCCAAGGGCTATGCATGTATGGGTTCGAGAGACCATCTTTTGTGTAACTGGGTTTAAACCTTGGAACTTGTAAGCCCTTGAGGGCATTTATTTGTTTATTTTTGACTGAATGTTCTACATGTTATAGATTCATGTGCTAGAATTTATTGAATGTATACCTGCATGTGAAACTATTTTGTTCGAAGCTCATGACCATTTAATGCAAGCATTGGGAATTTATTTCAGTTTACTGTAAGGAGTAATGGATATTATGTTATTATTATTATGTATTTTCTTGGGGCGTTACATTCGGTCCAAATATAAGCCTTCCAACAACACCTAGACGTTAGGAGGTAAGATCAAACAACACAAGATTCTCCATCTCAAATCACTCTGTTTTTATTTCAAAACACTTATAATTGTTGGATTATGCCACGAGATTTTTGTACTTGTATGTATATCCGCTACTTGTTGATTCTAAAAGTATCGACTTTATTCTGAAAACCACTAATTAAAGAGGTGCAATCTTGTTGGACAATTTGGACATAGCAAACATGGATGTTATAATGAACTTGAATGCGAGTGGTGAAGCAATAGTTATATTGGCAGAGTTCAAGTTTTCGATAAACACTTACCTAAAAGAACTAGTGACTTCTCCAGTAAGATCACTGGCCGATGTCATAGCCTTTAACCAGAAATTCTCCAATCTGGTAAGTATATACCATTTCTAACATAAATTTTAAATATCAAATTTTTTTTTTTTTTTTTTTTTTTTGAATTTGAATTTTCTCCAAACTGGGTTTTTTCAGGAAACGCTCGACAAGTACGGTCATGAAATTTTTGTATTAGTAGAGGCCACAAATGGTATCGGAAAAGCAGAGGAGGGCTTTCTGAATTTGGAGAGGTTATCGAAACATGGGTTTGAGAAAATAATGATAGAGAATGATTTGGATGGGCTGGTGGCTCTAGCAGATTGGGAGGTTGCTCATGTTCTTGTCATCGGGTGGATATCCAAGAATCACTGTTCCGTCTGGATATCACACAAATGGTATGCCATTTGGGATATTTTTTGCAGGAATCAAGGGTTCGGAGCCGAAATTGATTGAAATTTCTTATGGGTTTGAGCAAGCAACTATGATCAGAGAGCCCACTTTTTTCCTACCATAATTATGTCAAGAGTTGTGTTAATAACAGCTTACAACGTTGTTTTGCCAATTTTTTGTTGTAGTTTTAGGGCAAAAATTACTTAAATAAGTTCAAAAAAAATTATTATCTAGAAATTGAGAAAGCGCACTTATAGTTTCTACTTTCTAATTATCAAATTTGAGCAAAAAAAAAGCAATAAAAAAACTACACTAAATAAGCCTAACATCTATCAACTTTATGTCATGGGGGGCATGGGGAGGTCATGGACTATGGCCCAAGGGGATGACATCACACATGAACGCAGTTGTCTAAGTTAAAGACTTAAAGCCAGCAGCCCTTTAAAAAATTTAATTATGATGATGTTTAAAATTTCCCAATTTGGCTTTGCCTATTGCATCAGCTTGATGTGATCAGAAGAACTGAGGCGTGTACATCAATCTTGTTTAAAGAAATGTTATCGATTCTTGACGATAAGAGCGAAAATGCAAAGTGAAAGATATGCCATTTTGTTTCGTGCTGATGTTTATTGTTTTTAGTGTTTTGGCAACTGGCAACAACTCCTAAATAAGAAGACGTTGAAGTGATGAGCATTTTGCAACTAACTTTTCTAGTGGGAATAATAAAATCATGCATGAAGGGTTTCAAAGCTGCATGACATTGTTCTTCTCTATAATGTTAAAATGTCACTTTCACATATTAGAAGAAGTATTTCGCTCTCGCTCTCTTAAATAGTCCAATGAATCTCAAATCAATTTACTACGTAGCAATGTCGTCCATTTTTTCCTCAACTTTTGAAGTTTGTTCTAAATTTTCTTCTCTCATTTTCAACATAAACGGCAAAATTATCTCTAATAGTTTTATTTATTTAATGCTACACAAATTTTTATGATTTTTATGCCTGGTGTGCTATTTTACTGGTGCATGTGAATAGGCTTGAAAGGGTTGCACCGTTTCACTTTGTATTTTTAGATTTTACTTTAGTATTAATTTTTGTATGATAATTTGTCATTGGCAAAAGCTTGAATAATTTGAGTAGTGATACATACTCGGTAAACTACACTCACTTCCCATGGTTTGAAAAAAAAATGGGCAAATTACCAACACCTCTGGAGGTTTGACTAAAATACAGATTTCCCTTGAGGTTTGAGAAATTACATCCTATCCCTGAGATTTATATTTTCATAACAAATTGCCCCCTGAGGTTTATATTTGCAAAACAGATTTCCCCCTAATTTGTTATGCAAATATAACCTTCAGGGGGGCAATTTGTAATTTTTCAAACCTAGGGGGGGGGAAATATGTATTTTAGTCAAATCTTAAGGGGGTGTTGGTAATTTGCCCAAAAAAAATAGAGATGGAAAGTAAATATTGAAATAAATAAAAATAAAAATATATTTTAGTATAAAAAAAATTTCAACATCATCTCTTTATTCATATAACTAACGAATTATTGATAAAAATAGCTTGTGTTATGTGAATTAATACATTGAAAAAGATTGGTATAATTATACTAACATTGTAAAACTAATTCATATTCTTTTTTTAAAAAAATTCAAAGGAAGTGAATGTAATTTACCCAACAAAAAATATACAAAATTTATAAATAGAATGACATGACAATATTAAAAATTATCATTTTAAAATAAAATATGTATTTATATGGATATAAATTTTGTAGGAAATTTTAGTCAAAACCACTCTATTTGACCCTTGTTTGGTGAAAATGACAGTTAAATTTATTTTGTTTCACAAACCCTCCAAGAAGGAAGTACATAATTGAGTAAGAACAAAGTAAAATATCATTTTTTTTTTGGTGTCAAAACCCCTCCATTCGACCCTTATTGGGTGAAAATGACAGTCCAATTTATTTTGTTTCATAAACCCTCTAAGGAAGAGGCGCATAATTAAGGACAAAGTAAAATATCATTTTTTTTAGTTAATATTACCAGAGTAATATGTTACTGTGAACCACAGTAACATGTTACCGTTTAATAGAGTAATGTGTTACTGTTTACATCAATTTCGACAATTATAAATTTAATTTTTTTTAAAGAATTTCATAGTCAACATAAATTTTATTTGATAGGTCTTGATGAGAGGATTCGAAAAATACTAATTTTATTAAAAACCGACATCTAGATCAAAAATTATATTATTTAAAAGTTTAAGATTTTGATAGTAATGCTGTGTTGAATTTTTTAAGATTTTTTTTTGTATTTCTTTAATGCATTAAAATTTTATTATAAGAAAGTTTTGATTTTTTTTGTATTTCTTTAATGCATTAAAATTTTATTATAAGAAAGTTTTGATCAAATCTCTCAATTTTATACATAAATTTAATATAAAAAAAACATTTTTCATAAATAAAGATATTAGTAGAAAAGTTCATTTTGATGTAGTTATGCCCTCTTTTGAGAAGTGAGTTATAATCCACTTCTCAGATTATAACCCACTTTCCTCGCTCACAAAAAACTAATTATAATAAACTTTTAATCAACTTTTAACTAAAAGATTGATTATAACAATTTTTCCAATATAGCCCTACCTTTCAAATTAGACACCAGCTGTTTAAGATCTTTCCTACTGAACACATCTCTTTTAGTATCTTCTCGTGGGCCAAGGAGCGGAAAAAATTGACTATTTTAATTGAATATGATAAAATATTACAAGTAATTCATAAATATTTTATTTTTTTTCATAAAATTTTTTTAAAAAATTTATTTCAAATAAGGCTGTTTAGCCCCAAACTAATAACTAAAAATTCAAAAAATTAACACACGTCCCAAACAAAGGCTCGAACTTTGGCTCAATAATTGCTGGGAAAATGCCATACAGCTCTTCGGTTTTGTTTTTAAAATTTATTTTATTGAAAATTTTGAAAAACAATTTGAAAATTAGTTTTCTGATAAAAATTTAAAATTTCAAACACTCATAATAATTTTCATATGGTATTTTTAAGAATAAAAATATTGTTTAATAATTATTTTTTAGGAAAATTTACCCATAAGTTCTAGTTTCTGAAAAGTTGAACCATTTAGTCCTAAAAGTTTTCTTATGCTCCATTTAGTCCCATTTGCACATCAATCTAATGTTCGAAACATTAATCTGATGTTCGAAATCTAATGTTCCAAACATTAATCTGATGTTCAAAATCTAATGTTCAAAACATTAATCTGATGTTTGAAACATTGTAATAGGACCTTTCAGTCTATAAGAAAACTTTTAGGACTAAACAGTGGATAAGTTATTAATTTGAGATTTATTGGTGCATTCCCCTATTTTTTTAAAAATTATGTATATATTTTTAAAAATTTCCAAAAAAAAAAATATTTTAAAGACTAATTCAAACAAGGAGTATATATCTTATTGAAAGGCTTTAGCTAGCATTGTTAATTCTAGCGATTAACTCCAAGATTAATAAACATCTTATTTAATAAAAATATATAAAAAAAATATTATATGTATTTTGTCTAGTATGTATTCTAAGAGTATATATTCTTATAATTTCTCTGTTTAGTTGGTTGGATTCTTCAAATATAACTAGTCAAGTGATAACGAAACAAAATGTCTATCTTGTTGTCCATTCTATTGAAATTTCATTTTTGTAATGAGGTTAGATAAAAAGTTCTAAAAATTTTCTTATAATTTGACCCATAATAATATAATATAATAAATATCAATTTTTAATTTGTTACACACTCAATTATATTACATCTAATTATATTGCCACATTTAATCTAAATTGCCAATCTTTAGTATTTAATAAATATCTCTTTCTGTGGACATGCTCTTTTAAGGATGATTAATGGTCAATAGTGAGTGTATGTGGAATAATATTACGGATCATAAAAAAATATCATAAAATACATCATAAAGATTTCTAATCTTTTAATTAGAGTGTTGCTTTATCGTATGTGTAATCTAAAAGTAAAGATTTTTTCATAATTATTTTCATAATATTATTTTCATGATCCCTAATATTATTTATGTATTTATATTTGAAGCTATGAGAGGTGATCACACCATAATATGGTGGACTCTCACACCAAATCAAAGCTTTATATGGTGATTCAATCTTCCCGCAAGAAGAAGTAACTGGAAGTATGGAGTTTGAAATTTGAATGAAGAGTCACAATGTTTGGAAACATGGTAATCATTGAGTTTATTTTCAATAGGTTGTAACCATTGATTAACAGCCACCATATGCTATAAATATATGGACGATACATAGGTTCAAAATACTTGAATTTCTCTTTGTTTTTCCTCTTCCAGATTGTCTTCTTCTGCATGATTAAACAACTTCACGAGAACTTCGATCTATTACTATTGTTAAGATTATTTTATAGTGGTATCAGAGCAGCGTACGCAAGTGTCGAATTACAATCCATAGGAGAGAAAAATTTTAGAATTTATTTGTTTTTGAATACCATCATTGGAGGAAGTTTTCCAGATTATTTTAGATGCCAAAACGAGTCACCATCTTCTCCATCACATTCATAGCAGAATTTTGAACGAGATTGTGTTTTTTTCGATAGAAATAAATGACAACAAACTGATCCTATAAAAACAAATTTCAGTATTTGGTCTCCAACCTCTCCTCGCCGGAGAAGACAACAAGAATCATAATATTACCGTTAGCCATCAAGCCATTTCAATTGGCAAGCCGAGCCACAATCTGATCAAGCAAGTAAGCCGTGTAATTTGGCGTTGTTCTATTAAGGGCCTATACAACACAGCTTGTTACTTTTGCCTTCACCATATTAAAATATAAGCCAAGATTAAAAAGACATTTATTTATTGTCATTAGTATTGATTTGGTGCTTTGGCTAGTTTTTTTTTTTTTTTGTTCGAAGTCAAATTTTGACTCGTTCAAAGGTTGAATTTTTACAAATAAAAAAAAAGGGAGGAATTTTATTTTTAATAGTACACATTATGGCAATTAAAAGTGCTATTGATGCTTCCAAAATTGAAATGATTAATGGAAATAATTTTCGAGTATGGAAGCGTCACATTTCTTATCTTCTTACACATGAGAAAACTTTGTATACTCTATCCACTTATAAGCCAAATGATGATTCTAATTGGGTTCAAAACAAATGGTAGAGGATGATATAATGGCAAAGGCAATCATGTTACATAATATAAAAGACAACATTATTCCGGC